GTCTTAATGATGCGTCTTCATACCCGATGGAAATGGCAGCACTAAAAGGTTATGTTTCTCTAACGTCTATGGAGCCGCTCTAACACCTGCTAACTGACTGGGAGGACAGAAGGCTAGTGCCGCTCCTGCAGGTGAGCCGCAGCGCCGCATTCATTCTGCTCCTGCAGCTGTCTTAGAGGTGTTAATGGATGACATATGGCGTTTGGAAGTGTTCTAAATCACAGCCTAGTGCCACCAGGGCTCCCTCTGTGCCTCGCAGAAATTTCATTTCTGAGGAGCAGTGAAGTGCAGAAAGGAGGCACTCCGGCTGTCAGACGTATGATCGAACGCTGCTGTCACTAAATGAGGCGATGCTGCTGCACTATCTTCCTAGAAATAAGTAAAAAATTAAGTGTATTTAAAGTTAATTTGAGCAGATAAATAAGATTATTTGCCAGTAGAATTAGTATTTTGACTATATATGTGCCTGAAATAAGACATTGCAATTGTTTTTCTTATTTTAAATGCAAATTGTCCTTTTCCATTTAAAAAGAGTCTCACCTACCTCAATTCAAGAACAAGGGCACTTATTTTAAGAGAAAACTATTTAATTAGATTTAAATTTCTGGCAGTGTTCTGCACAAAGTAGAAATCTTGGTAACATATAGGGGGAAAAAAACAGTTTCTGTGCAGACATCTCATTTGCAGGAAGTTGTTGAGTCGGTTTTCCCTCTGAGCTACGCTAAAATAAGATGGAGATTAGCTGGAAGCCGCCATCAGACATCTACAATAAAAAGAGTGAGACTACTACTGCAGTAAATCTTCAATTCTCAAACATTACCTGTCGGTTTATCAAACAGCTCCTCTGTAAGAAACCAAAGTTTCTGTCTGACTGGCCTCATCAGCAAACCCTTGGACTAACCGTAGTCGGTTATATCCCTTTCCCACTGGAAGAACACCAGTTTAAAACTGGGAACAACAGGCTTTTAGCGGCAGTGGGAATAGCTCACTGACACGTGTCTCGGTAAGCAACCTGCGATAAAATCGCCTCGACTCTGACCAGCATGCTGTGGGAACACTGGAGCCAGGCTGACCCGTTAAATTACGTGACACCATTGAACACAACATACAGGCGTCAACACACCGTCAGTCGCTTCTGATCATGGAGCAGCTCTGGTTAGAGGGGTTCAGACAGATAGTAGAGAAACAATAAAGCACACTAACTGAGCCTGCCTTCCTTACACATTTCTCTCCATTGTTTACTTTCCTGATTTCTGTCACACTGGTGACATCATCAACGCTAAACCATCATGCAGCTGCAGGGGGACAGAAGTGATGCAGTGGACAGGTAGGGGTTAGAGCAGCTTTTTGTTTGCCAGTGGGAGGGGAGCCAAATCTCGATTGTTAGTGGGTCGAACCACGTTTGAAAAACACGAGTTAACCCGGTATTTTCAGTGGGTAAGAGGCTATAGAGATCTGATCTACAGCTGGTGATAAGCGAGCGCCATGAAGGCTTAGCTGAGCTTATGGTTCAAGTTTTCACGTTGCAGCTGAAGTTCGGCACAAGGAGCAGCATCTGAATTCTCAAAGACCAGGATCTGATAGGAGTCAAGTTAAGAACAAGCTTATGGTGCCAATCAGTACGTAATATATGGACAAGGAAGAATAATGCAAGGACAGGAAGCAGGGATGCTCATGGGTACAGGATCAGTGAACGCACCATGCCTCAGCTCTCACAGGTCAGCTTACAACTTTAGCCGTTAGTGTGGAGGCTGTTACTGAGTGAACCAGTTAGTGGAAATGCCAAAACTTTAAGACAGAAAGCAGTTTTCTATGCTGGCATGTGGACTTTGATCCACAGGAGCTAAACAGAGGAAAGTGAACGTCTCACAGCCCGGTTACCATTATTGTTCCTGTCAGTGAAGATGCTGGATCTTTGGAAATCATAACCACTAACTTTAAATGAGGGAAATGCTGCAGTATAAATGCTCAACATGCTGATGGTTAATATAAGGTACTATAAACAGGTTTGCATCTTGTTTGAATGCATCCTCTGAAGGCTGCTGAGTCAACATTAAATCAAAAACTAATAACCTGAAGGATCAATGACTGGTTCAAATCAGCTTAAATTAAAGTTATCTCTTAGCTCCAACTTTGACAATTAAAAAAAGAAGAATAAGAAAGTGCACCAAGGGGTGTCCTAAAGCGGATAGGTGCCAGAACCTCAGGGTTAGTCTGCATTTCTTCA